ACTCATATGCTATCTCCTCCACTTCTGGCTGAGTTCATCAAGCCCTCCTCTGATCTCCTTTAGCCTTTGATATACTCACTCTTCAAATCCTAATATGCACCAGAATACATAAATAACTCCTACAACTCAACAACAAAAAACCAAAAACCTCATTCAAAACTGGGCAAAAAACTCTACTTGCTCAGTTCTCATCAACTCAACTCTTAAGGAACTCGAAAACAATGACAGCTTAACCTGGACACGTGCAGCTATTATGCCCAGACTCTGATAAATGGTCATAACCTTTTGTTTTTTAATTGAACATAGCATGCTTCAGAACTCTCTGACAATCCTTTAGTAAGACACTAACAATATCAGAGTTGTCACTTAATGTAAAACCCAGAACCGTGGCCCAAAGATGGGAGTCCTCAGACACTTCTTGCTTAGAAGCTGTAGTTATTTCCAAGTTTTTATAACTGAATTATATTTGAAGAGACTTTTTTCCAAAGAAGATATACAAATGGCCAATAAGCACATGAAAAGATGCTCAACATCACTAATCATTAAGGAAATGCAAATCAAAACCATAAGATACCACTTCACACCCAACAGGGCAGCTATTATCAAAAACAAAACAAAAAACAGAAAGTAACAAGTGCTGACAAGGATGTGGCGAAACTGGAACCCTTGTACTCTGCTGGTGGGAATGTAAAATGCTGCTGCTATAGAAAACAGTATCGCAGTTCCTCAAAATGTTAAACAGAGAATAATCCAGCAACTCCACTTCTGGATATATACCCCAAAGAAGTGAAAGCAGGGACCTGAACAGGTATTTGTAAAGCCATGTTCATGGTAGCATTATTCCTAACAGCCAAAAGGTAGAAGCAATCCACGTATCCATCAATAGATGCACAGATAAATAAAATTTGGTATATACATAAAATGGGATATTATTAAGCTTAAAAAGGAAATTCTGACACATGCTACAATATGGATAAATCTTGAAGACATTATGCTACGTGAAATGAACCAATCACAAAAGGACAAATATTGTAAGATTCCACTTACAGGAAGTACCCAGACTAATCAAATTCACAGGGAAAGTAAAATGGTAGTTGCCAGGGGCTGCAGGGAGGAGGAAATGAGAAGATGAAAAATGTTCTGGAGGGACTTCCCTGGCGGTCCAGTGGTTAACACTCCATGCTACCAATGCAGGGGGCACGAGTTTGATCCCTAGCGGGGGAACTAAGATCCCACATGCTGTGTGGCCAAAAAAAAAAAAAAAAAAGTTCTGGAGATAGATGGTGGTAATAGTTGCATAAAAATATGAATATATTTAATGCCGTTGAATGAATTCTGCACTTAAAAATGGCAAAAAGTTTTTATGTATATTTTACCAGATTTTAAACAAAAAAACCAAAACCCTAACATGCAAAACTTTACACTGTGTCTCTCTTACTTGTAAGTATCTCATTGTGTAACTCTTGCCATCTCTCACAGCAGCCACAGATGGGAGTCCATTCATTTGTTAGCACTGGATGGTAACCGTGCTAACGAATGAAAGAACTGGAGTATCTGAGTGTGCACATGAATGTGTACATATGTACGAAGTAAAGGTTCCATGACAACATCTGTTTTGCTCAATCCTTTACTCTTCCTTAAAGGCAAACAAAGGAGGAATGAAGTTGGCCCACCTTGAAGGAACTTTAGCATGCACTGGTTTGGGCCCAGTTTGCATGTAGACCCTTAATTGGCCTAGAAACCAAAAGAAACTTAACCCCCAAAGAATACTGCCCTCTGGCTCCTCCCTTGGGGAAGGAAAATTGAGACCTAGCCACTCACACTTCTCTCATTCCCCTTCCCCCCACTGGGCAATCTCACCAAGGGAAAACTTTTCTCTTAGGGCCTCTTAGAGATATCTAAAAGCATCAGCTTTGGGGCCAAAATTTACCCTTCATTTTCAAAAAGGATCTTCATACGTTCAACAAATGTGTATTAAGTATCCATCACCTTCCAGGCCCTATGCCAGGTCATGGTGCATGACATAAACAGCCCCTATCAGCAATGAGCTAACGGTCTAGTGAAGACCTGTCTAGTGGAAATATAATGAAAGCCATGCAAGTCATTTTTAAAATTTTCTGTAGCCATGTTAAAGGAGTAAAGACAAAAGGCTAAATTAACTTCAATAATATATTTCACTTAACCCAACATATTCAAAGTATTATTATTATGGCATGTGATTAAAACAAGAAAAATCAAGATATTTTACATTCTTTTTCCTTGTGCTGAGTCTTTGAAATCCAGTGTACACATTACAGGTAAAGCATATCTCAATTTGGACTAGCCACATTTCAGGTACTCAATGCCACACACGGCTAGTGGCTACTGTACTGGACAGCACAGGACTAGTGTGTCTCAAAATAACTTTGAGACCAACTAGGATGAGGGTCTCAAGAGTCTGTCCACATTTACTTGGTGGGATGCGGGTAATGTAAAAGAATGAATGCAGCAACCTAAAGGGCTTACCCATCAAAAGAAGAGCTGGTGCAGTCATATACCATCTCCCGGTTACCCTTCATCTGAAGGTACGCATCACAATTGTCACAGCCATCATATTCAAACTGGTCTATAGTCTGGGAGGGGAAAAAAAGGAGAGAGGTGAGCATGAACAAGGCGAAAAGAAAAAACAGCTTTCCCCATACTTTTACCTGGTCAAGTACAAGGCTCCCTATGTTAGTTCTGTCTCATCAGGTCCCCCACCCCCATTCCTACAGCCCCTTTCCTAAGTTCCACTCTCACAATCCTTCTTCTCTTGTTCCCAATTGCGTTTTACCTATTCCTTTCCCTAAATCTCCGTGGGGTCAGGCACCTTCTCCGACTACTCCCTCAGCTGTAAAGGATCAGGCCTGTGCTGACAGCTGAAGTTGCAAAGGCATGTGAGAACGTCCATGCCCACGGCTGCAAGATTTGCCTGCGTTCCTACCGACTTAAACGATGGCCTCCTGCTGCTTCCCACGTCCCCCTGCCACCCCCTGGGTCCTGGACCTGACTTCCCTCTTCACTGTTCCTGTAGCCCTGTTCCACCCACTTTCCCCCAGCTTGGTCCTCCATCGCCCGTACAACCAGGTTCCCCACAGACACCTTGACCAGCGAACACAGCAAACAAGCCCGCAGATGCCGCAGGTCTTTCGGCACCGTCTCCAGGGCCATCTTCTCCCACGGAAGAACAGCGAAGGAAGGAGCCACAACCTTCTCTCGCAGGAAGTAAATAGCAAATTACCCAGAATGCCCGCACTTCCGGTTTCCAAGACTTCCTCTTCCGGCGTGGGAGGCCGCCGGCCCCGCCCCTCCACCCGCCTTAGGAGATGGTTTCTCCCGCCAGGAGGAGGGGCCGGCCGGGAGTCACCTGGGTCGGCGCGCACCCCCGCCACCTGGGCCGGCGCGAGGGCGAGGCCTGGCAGCAGTTGGGCCTGTGGGCGGGGCCCGTGGGGGAGGTGCGGCGCGGTTGGCGCCTGCGCGCGCGCCGCGACCGGGGCGGAATCCCGGCGCTCGGACCATTTGATCTAGGCCGCTGGCACCGGGCCGCCGGTCCCCTGGAGGATCCTGGATGACAGCGGAGATTCTTTTTTGTCTTCCCGTCTTAAAAGCGCAGGGCCAGCGAATCCACTGCCTCCCTGTGGATTATCTCTGCAGAGACGAGAAGAAATCCAGGGACCGCCCCCCTCCTTCCTAACAGGGAGGGAGCGTGATTGGGTTTCCATTTGCGTCCACAGAAACGGTGGCCGGTGAGCAGACGGCCGAAAAAAATGCATATTTAATTATTTCTAACAGCTCTTTATGTACGTTTCCACGTTCCAGCTGATAATTTACGCTTTGTGCAGCTTTTAGCATTTAGATACAGTTCCTTTACTTAAGATCATCTGTAGGAGGTTGTGTCCTTTTTTTTTTTTTTTTTTTTAAATTTCACCCTATGGGGGCTTCCCTGGTGGCGCAGTGGTTGAGAGTCCGCCTGCCGATGCAGGGGACACGGGTTCGTGCCCCGGTCCGGGAGGATCCCACATGCCGCGGAGCGACTGGGCCCGTGAGCCAGGGCCGCTGAGCCTGTGCGTCCGGAGCCTATGCTCCGCAACGGGAGGGGCCGCAGCGGTGAGACGCCCGCGTACAGCAAAAAAAAAAAAAAAAAAAAAAAAAATTCACCCTATGGGATGCTAAATGCCTTTCTCTCTGGTTCAGAACTGGGCACCAGACAACGACCGCCTTTAACATACCTTTCCTGGAGAAGCAGAAGGGGAAAATGTGCTTTGTGAGGAGGAGAGCAAAGGCCTGTCCAGGCCCTGTGGAATTCTTCATCCCTGCAACAGCACCACCTCTGTTGATCCTCACAATAGTCCCGTGTGTAGGCAGAGGACAGTCATTTGTGTTTATCTGAATTGGAGCTTTGGGATATAAATAGTTTCAGGCCCTGCTGCTCTATCTTCCCAACCAGGCCTCCTAAATTGAAACTGAGCTTCTTCAAGACCGGTCTGCTGCTGGTGCCTGTCCCATGTCGTGCTCAGATGGGCTCTGTGACTGGGGTTAGGATGTTCTCTATCACTGCATACATTCTACCTTGGAACACAGTTCACTCGTCTCACGGGAGCTCTCCAACAACTCCGTGAAGTGGGCCCATTTCATGGGTGGGAAAAGGCACCAGGGTATTTGAGTATACTCAAATATATCTGAGTATTTGCCCAGGGTCACAAAGAAAGTCACTGAAGCATTATAGAGTGTGAAGTAAACAGTACAATAATAGTACAGATGACACACTGAACCACAGTGAGAATCCAGCCGTGCTTTCTCTTCCCCTGATCTCACTAAACCACGCTTTTAGGGGCTTACAAGCCAAGCCCACCACTCTACTCTGTCCTTTCATAAACCAGAGCCTAGCCTCTGCTATCAGGAGTAATTTATCTTTGCCCACGTAGAAGACAAAGTTGTTACCCTGAGTGACAGTCATGACAGAAGAAAACGACGAGACCAGATGGAATTTATGGATAAATATATTAGCAAATAAATACATTTCTCAACATAGTGCCTGATTCAAGCATCTTTCTGTCTGTTCAGATATAAATACCCACGTGGGTGCCTAGGTGCTAGTTCCCCACTGACTTAGAGGGAAGAAGATTCCCAGGTGGGGTCCTGTGCCCACTTTGCTCCCACATTCACATTCCAAACGGGATAATGCCTGAGGGGCCAGCAATGGTCCAAATTCCCCGGGGTGCATGTTACCCTGAGGAGGCCCCTCAGCCCTTGCCCACTCGATACCAGCTGCCCAGGCCAGGCTTCCTGCTGCAACTCCACTCCTTCCTGTGTGTCTCTGGCCTGCATGGCTTATACTGGGAAGCCGGGCCTCTGGGCCGTCTAATCCCAAGGGCCCCATATTACCTCTCCTTTGTTCTCCCATTCCCTATCCCTGGTCTGAGAGAAAACGCCCAGAGAAAACTTCCTTGTTCAGCTGTAATTTTGCCTTTCCTACCTTCATTCCTTCCTTCCTCTTCCTAAATAAAGTACAGCAGAAATCCTCTTCTTTCCATCTACTTTGGGACTTTGAGATAGGAGGTCCCCAAGGAAGAGCTATTCCCTTCCCACTACCCTCACCCCTACCCCCAGAGGAACTGAGGCTGCTGGAGTGACAAGGGAGTTTGACGATCAGAGGCTTCGACCCAGTTTCTTCAAGGTGCTGTACCACATCAGGGACAGAACTGCACACCCTGGCTTCCCCTCTGACTTAATATAGTGGATGTGACAAGTGCGGACAAGGAGGGACAAACATCCTCCCTTGTGCACCAGGGGAGGCCCTGCCTGGTGAAGCTGCAAAGCCCCCCTTTTCAGGGCTCAGGGCTCACCTATGCTCCTGATCTTTTTGCAAAGAAGGAAAATGATAAGAACCAGGGTTGCCGCTGACGCAGCAGCCTTACCAAGGAGGAGCCAAAGCTGGTGTGCAGGACTCTCCCAAGGAAGGAGGTGAGAAGGGTCATGCGTTCAGCTGGACCCGTTTGCTGGTATGAACATGAGGCTTGGAATGAGGGAGACCTGCTGGGGCTGGGGAAGGAGCACCACCTTTATAACACCTATCTACCTATACCTAGCTTCCTGCTCTCAGAAAGTCCCAGCCTGCAGGGGAGCCAACCCACACAAGTGGTAGCTGGTTGCCTGGCTGGACACAGACTTGCTGCACTGCAGATGCTTCTGCAGACAAGGTCTGGAGCTGGGACCGGGAGACAACACCTCCTGCTGCCCACCATCACACTCCTCTGCCAGTGGTTCCAGGAAGGATGGCAAAGAAGAGGGGTGTTTTCTGAGGTCCTTTCTTTTCTCAGGAGCAGGACTCTGTGCCAGGTAGGGCGCTGAGTCATCTGGCGAGCACTCTTGGTTGGAGCTCGGCCTGAACATCTCACACGGCCTGTTCACACAGCTCCTCGAGCTCCTCCTCTTCTGAGCCTGCATTTAGAGAGAGAGGAGGAAAGAGGTCACTGAGGGTCAGGCCAGTCTTCTGCTTGTTCCACCGGCAAGAGAGTATGGCTGGGAGGGAACTACAGAGAGGCAGGAGCAGGGAATGGGTCCAGAAGGGTGATCAGATTGAAAGCTGAGAGCGGCCCCCATTGGGACACAGGGGAGAGAAAAATGAATCTAGAGAAAGAGATACATAGATAGCAACCAGTGTGTTACCCATACTTACTATTCATTCATTCGCCCAGTAAATATTAATTATACACTTGTGGATCTGGCGTGCTACCATGTGCCAAACAGAAGACCAAGAAGACTAAGCAGGGACCTGACAACCTTGTAGGAGAAAAGGTGTGCACGTAAGTGGCAATTATGCCAATGGGGGCAGGACTGGGGTCGTAAGAGATGAATCACGAAAGGAGAAAGGTCATGTCCAAGTGGAGCATCAAGAAGGGCTTCCTGAAAGTGGGGATAAATGCACTGGTCCTGCAGGAATAGGGAAGAATTAGATTTATGGGAACAGGAAGGCAGCAGAATATTCTGGGCTGCAGAAACTGCAGGAAGTGTTTACCTAGTTTGGCTAAAGCCTGGAGCAGGGGAAGGGAAGGGGAAGAGCGGAAAATAAGGTTGGGAAGGAAGATGGGGGCTAGCTGGTACTAGGGCCTTGAAGGCCAAACCAGGTTGGATTTTTCTTTACTCTGAATAAAACAGAACATCTGAAGATTTCTAGAGAGTTTGTTTGAGGAGGATGACCCCGGCAGCAGAATGGAGGGTAGGCGAGCAGGATCACAGTGTTGCGTGGCACTACAGGACACGACACTGATGTGCAGGGCTCGGCCTTCATGGCCCTGTGAGAGGGAAGGGAGGAGCCAGGGGGCTCCTGCCCCGACCTTTAGGCTGCACCTAAGACGTGGACAGGTGCCAGCAGTACTGGAGGAGAATATGGTAAAGCTAGCAGAGACATGGTTAACAGAACCTGGCGTGGATTAGATCTGAAGAGCAGGGGAAAGGGAGGCACTGAAACCAGTTACGAGTTTGAGAGAGAGAGGGGAGGTAGTGGTCTGGCACTGGCAGCACTGAAAGTATACACATGACAGGATTCAAAAGGCACCATCAAACAAAACACATGGCCAAATCTGCATTACGTGGCCCTGTGGAAGCAATTGTTTTCTGTACTATAACAGCTTGCATGCCTATCTCTCCACAGACCTGGGTCTCCTGGTTGACAAGTTCCACGTCCTCAGAGCCTGGAACCTAGCACATAGCAAGCACACAACGCAGAAAGAAAAATGGAAGGAAGAAATGAATGGACGGATGATAGCAGCTCTCAGGTCCTGCCTGTAGGATTCCTAGACCCTGAAGTCTTATATTTCAGGACCTTTGAGGGCAGAGGGGTCCTCCTAGTGATGGCTGTAGGCAAAGAGCTGTGTCATCCACACAATGGGAAAAGATGGGGGAGAGTAGGGGTTGGGGGATCCGGAAGAGGAAGAGGAGGATTTGAGCAAATAAATACCCAGCTAAAGTCAAGGATTTACATTATCACCATTGGCTGCAATACAGTAATAGGGACGCACTGAGTCCCCAAGAAAATGAAGTCAGTCTTATTAACAAAGATGCATAGAAGGGAAAGCCCTAGTAGTTCTTTTCCCCGGGGGAAAGGAGAGACCCACAGGGCTGCTAGGAACCACCTGTGATCGCTCTCCTTTTTTTTTTTTTTGCATCATTCACATAGCTCTTCTCATATAACCCAGAATTATGGTTATCTGTAGTTATTTCTCCTGTAGGATCTCATATGGCCTGGGATTACGGTTTTCAGTAACCATTTGTCCACGCTCTCCTCAAGAGCAAGGAACAGTTCTTGGCCTTCTTTGTATTTACAGCTAATACTGAGCTATAGGCTCAGCTGTACCAATTTTTAAAATACTGAAACACTCACGATTGAGCTGCTGCCCCAAGCCGCCCCAAGTACTTTCTGCTGTCTCAGCCACACTGGTACCTCACCGGAGACCTCCCGAGGATCTGGCAACTAAAGGATTAACACCTGGCAGAGCCAGCATCCTACGCTATGTCAGTTGTCCACTATTTTGAATGTCACCCCTGTTGGACCCTTCTCAGCTTCCATCAACCCTCTGGATGACTTGACCCGTTCTACCATACCCAACTCTAGTCTCCTGTCCCCGCCAGACCCATTTCCCCTGAAAACTCACCAGGCTGGGCTGGCAGCACCTGGCAGTGTGGGTAAGGGCATGGCCTACCCTCTGGGGCGCCAGAACTGCATTCGGAAGGCCCCTCCCCAGATGGGTATGGTCCTAGGGGCTGGCGTGTAGTCAGACACAACCACACCGGCTGTGAACTTGGGTAAGTAGGGCCTGGGGTTTCTGGTAGCAGCCTCCTGTCCAGGCCCGGAGGTCCGAAGATCAATGGGTGGGCCTCTGGGGACCAAGGATATGCCAGGCTGGGGCCATAATGGGGAAGAATCTGGCACACTCGGTGTGCGGCCAAGTCCTGGGGTCGAGAGGCTGGGGAGGGCTCTGAGGGACTCCCCCGCCGTTTCCTCTGTGTGTGTCGCACAGGGAGGCTGGATTTCTGCAAGTGGAAGAGGCTGCTGGGACCAGGGCTGGGGCTGGCGGCGTCCGCTGGCCCGGGGGCTGGCTCGGTGAGGGCCCTGGGCCGTTGCGGGCTGGGGAGCTGTCCTGACGGGGCTGCTGGGCTGGGGCTGGCTGCCTGCGGATCGGGTGAAGGCAGCTCTGGCTGGAGTTGTGTCCGAGGAATGGCAGGCCTGGACGGCGGGACTCCAGTTTCTGGGCCAGACTTCCTGCCGTGCCACTGGAAACGCTTTTTGTAGTGGCGGTGCCGGTGGTGGTGGTAGTGGACATGGCTGGAAACCTGGGTTTCCCCTGTGGGCACCACCGAGTCCAAAGAACGGGGCCGAGAGGTCATGCTAGGCTGAGCCTCCTCCCGCCGGCGCTCCCCTTCGGGGCTGCAGTACACCAGGGGGTCAAAGTCACTGCTCAGGGAGCTGCGGAAGGTAGAACTGCTGCCGTGGATGCCCTGCAGGCTGATGTCCGTGCAGTTGACCACTGAGTCACTCGAAGAGCCGTGACAGGGCCCTGAACTGGAGTCACTGGCTGGCCCGTCTGCCAGGTAGCCACTGCGTTCTGTGCAGTAGCTTTCTCCAGACCCGCTGCTGTCGTGAGGCCTGGCCCGGCGTGGGGGCATGGGGCAGGTGGCAGGGTGCTGCAAAGTGCACCGCAGGTGGCTCAGCCCCCAGCCCTGCGCAGAGGGGCTCTGGGCCACCGCCAGGCGCTGTGGTTCGCCTGGAACCCGGGGATGTGCGCCTCTGGGGAGGCGGTGGTGCCGAGGGCCCACGCCTGGCTCCTGGGATGGTAGGAAGGGACCAGGCCGTGTGGGCCGAGCCGCTGCGCTCCGGGAAGGGCCCGACAGGTAGGCAGCAGGCAGGTGGTAGTGGGCATGGCCGGGATGCTGGCGAATGAGGTGGAGTCTTCGGCCTGGTTCTTGGTAAGATCTAGACGGTCCCAGGGACTGAGAAAGGGAATCTCCCTCTGGAAGAGAGAACCAAGAGCACAAGTGTTTGACTCCCCAAACGGAAGGAGGGTACATTCAGAAAAGCGTGGCTGTAACGTACTTATTGAGCCTGCATCGCCCGCAAGCTCCGTCAGAGTTTGGACGACCAAGGACACTCCTAACCTGCCTGTGCCCGGGGATGCCCTTGCTCCCTCCAGCCAGTTGTCTCCTTGGGAGTTCCACTGTGCATGGCAAGCCCTGCTCCTCCCATCAGCCCTTTGGGGACTTGCACCCAGGGCCACTGCTAGCCCACACTGCACCTTTGGGTGAATTAGAAAAAGGCTCTCTTTCCTCAAGATACTTCACTTTCATCTTTTAGAAGATTGTCATAATATCCTGGTTTTGTTCGAACAGGATACTTTATTGCCAGAAAAGTAGAATAATAAATATACAAATCTTGGCATTCCCAGGTGGCACAGTGGTTAAGAATCCGCCTGACAATGCGGGGGACACGGGTTCGAGCCCTGGTCTGGGAAGATCCCACATGCCAGGGAGCAACTAAGCCCGTGCACCACAACTACTGAGCCTGTGCTCTAGAGCCCGGGAGCCAGAACTACTGAGCCCACGTGCCACAACTACTGAAGCCCGTGCACCTAGAGCCTGTGCTCCGCAACAAGAGAAGCCACCGCAATGAGAAGCCCACGCACCGCAACGAGAAGCCCACGCACCGCAATGAAGAGTAGCTCCCACTCACCACAACTACAGAAAAGCCCGCGCACAGCAACGAAGACCCAACGCAGCCAAAAATAAATAAACAAACAAACAAATCAGTCAGATTTAAAATCAACAAAGTTGTCATGAAAATACATCATAAAGATGACTGCAATGGAATGGCCGCCCCCTCAGATGAGGCCCCTTCGAGCAGTGCACAGCTTAAAGAACAACTGAGGCAGTCCTGCCTTCTCCTCAGCTTCAAGGCAAAACACTTGCCCAGAGGGAAGCCCCTTCTAGACCCATCTGCCTGCGCACAGGGGAGTCCTCGGCCCACCTCCTACCTACGATGTTGAACATGCAGAGGGGGCAAGTGCGATGCTGGTGCAGCCAGGGGTCCACACAGGTACGATGGAACTCATGGAGGCAGGAAATGACCCGTAGCTCCTGGAGAAAACAAGGGGTCTGAACCAGAGTTGTCTGTAGCTACAGCCGTGGCCAGGAAGCAGGGCATTCCCGACTCCCTCTGGCCTCTCCTGACTGCCGCCATCTGCTTTCAAAGACCTCACGGTAGGACAGAAATGGTATGGGCTTTGATATCAAGTAGACCTGGTTTTTGCCACTTAGCTGCACGACCTTGGGCAAGTTTCTTAACAGACAGTTTTCTGCTGTAAAATGAGGCTAAAAGACTAACCTACCCCCACCCCTCACTGTCACGAGGCTAAAACGAGACGATGCCTGTAGAGCATCCACTGCAGAGCCCGCCACGTGTACACACTCAACCAGCAGTAGTTCTCTTTCCCTGGAAAGCCAGGAAAATAACCAAACCTCAGGGCTGTCTGTGCACATAGATGCAGCTCGAGCACTCACACCAGCCTTAAGCGCTTCCTCCCCCAAGCTCCAGCCTCCCTACCCAGCCTGGTCATGGAGGTGAACCACGGCCCTGCCTTACCTGGCCCTCCGAGAACTCCTCCAGGCAGATGGCGCACACAGGGGCTGAACTGCAGCTGCTACCTGAGTCTGGCCACTCGGCCCGGGCCCTCCTGCAGCCGGGCTGGTACCTCCTGGTGGCCAGCTGGCTGATGGCCCAGGCTGTTCGCTGCTGAAGGGGATCCTGGGAAGAGGGGTGGGGCCAGAATGGGGCAGGGGCTCCTCTTCCCTCAGCCCTGGACTCCAGCTTGTACTCAGTTCCCGGCCACCCAGTCAGATCCCGTGACTGCTTGACCACTCCGAGGCGTTTGTGTCCTCGGAGCTCCCACGTGGCTCTGCCCAGCAGGCTAAGCCCCCCCATCCCATTCCCCACTCCTACTATTGATTTTCCTTCCCCCGACGACCCGTGAGAGCAACTTTTTATCCAACTGCCTGCTTGACATCTCAACTTGGATATCTAACAGGCACGTCCAACTTGCCAGGCCCCACGCTGAACTCCTAATCCCATGAACCGCCCAACCACACACCTGTCCTCCCGCAGTCTTCCCCACCTCAGTAAAGGGAATTCCGTTCTTTTCATTGCTCAGGCCAAAAATCTTGTTGCCATTCTTGACCATTCTCTTGCACTCCGTGATCAGTCCATTAGAAACCTGTCAGCTTTGCCTTCAAAGTGTATGGAGAGTCTAACTAATGCTCACCACTTCCACTGCTACCTCCCTACTCCAAGCTACCACTACTGTCCCCTGGAGTCCTGTAATAGCCTCGGAGCTGGTTTCTCACCACAGATCAGGTGAGGTCAGATCATGGCTCTCCTTCCGCTCAAAACCCTCCCGTGAGTGAAAAAAAAATCCTGACAACGGCCTTAACAGTCCAATACCACTGGGCCCCATGAACTCTCTGTCCCCACCTGCTGCTCTGCCCTCTCACTCACTGGATTCCAGCCACAGGACCGTCTTGCTGTTCCTCAGACATAACGGGCACACTTCTGCCTCAAGGCCTTGGCATTTCCTGTTTTCTCGCCTCAATCACTTTCTCCCCAGGTATCTGCACAGATCACCCCCTCACCTGTTGAGGGTCTTACCTGTAATGTCATCCTCTCAATGAGGCCTTCCCTGGCCTTGCTTTTAAAAATTAACCCTGTCCCCTTTCCATTCCCTCCCCTTTTCTATTTTATTTTTCTCCCTGGCACACACCACCGTCTAAATTATTGCGTATTTTACTTATTTATTTACTTACATTTTACTTATTTATTTACTCATTCATTTTACCTAGAATGAAAGTTCCCCGAGGGGAGGAATCTTTTGTCTTTTTGTTCACTGCACTATCCCCAACGCCTGGAACAGTGTCTGGCACAGAACAGGTGCTCACTCTATTTGGTGAATGAATGAACAAATGAGGACTCTTGTGGAGAGAGGCTGCTGGAAATCAACAAAGTCATTTGCCAGGGGATTTAGGTGTAAACTGTTTCACAGGCGTAAGGGCACCTTCTTTCCTCACTTTGTCCTTCCTGCTCCCCACCTTCCCCCACACGTGCACTCGCCCACCTCCACCAGGGAGCCCACCCGCCTCACCGGTCTGCTGTGACGGGGGCGGCACCGGATGCGCAGCACCGAGGCCAGGATGACCACAAAGATGGTGCCCACCACCGTCAGGAGGATCCACACGTCATAATCTGGCTGGGGGAGCGAGCAGAGATGGAAAGGGTCACGCTTCTGGAAGGAGCCCAGGAGACACACAGAGAACTGGAGGGCCCCTTGAGTCTTCCAGCAGAGGGGATGAGGTTGCAGGTGGGCTTAGGTGGTCCCTCTCTGCCCACGGGCACTCCTCCAAATGTCTGCTGTGAGAGGTACTATCTCGAGACCCATGTGCTTGGGAAAAAGGGGACAGGGACCCCTCTACAAGGTGGAAGCTACCCAGTGAGCAGCTGGCTGAGCTTCCCAGTCGATGGAGAAATACCAGCCAGGATTCAGGGGGCCTGGGGACGAGGGTTTCATTCTGGCTCTGCTACTCTGTGCCATGAAACCACGATGCTGAAAAACAACTTTAGAGCTCAGCTGACCCAATCTGTTCATTCTGCAGATGAAGCTCAGAGAGGGGAAGAAACTTGCCTAGAGGTGCACAGCTGGTGGACAGAGTTGTGCTAGAGGGTTTCCAAGGTCTCTTTAGCTCCAGGAGTCTAAGGGCTTTTGGTGAGAGTCACCGCAGGAAAAAGTGCGGGTGACAGCAGGTGCTGGGGCCGGGGCTGGAGACCTGGCGTGCTTACCGATGTCGTGGGCTTCTTCAGCTCAATCCTCACGTGGGCCTTTTGGTTCTTATACACAAACTCCATCAGCTTCTCGGCATCATTACCCCAGATCAACACCACTGGCCACGTCAGCCCCAGGGGCTGCTGCAGCTGCAGGAGGGAAAGTGCCCACAAGGGTGGCTGTGTCCTGACTTCTTCCCCGGCACATTTCTCTTCCTTCGTCCAGCCCCCTCCTCAAACACCCCACGTCCCGGGTACCTGTTCAGCAGCAGCTCGATCCTCCGTGATGTCAAAGAGGACGGCGCTGGCTCCCCGCTCCCCCGCCATCCGGGCCTGCAGAGACACACAGCAGAGGTCCCGCAGGGGTCAGACACGCAGCCCATCCACGCCCCGGCCTCGCCCCGTCACGTGCCTTCCCAGGATTCTGCACACACCACACCTCTGTACACTCCCACATATAACACATGCAAGGGGTCGGTGGGGTTAGGATCCCCTGCCCCGCCCCAAGCTCACCCAGGTCCACTGCCTTCCAGGACAACATTCAGTCCTTCCTTTCGTAATGGAACAAACCCGTAACAGGGTTTAGTAGGTGCCAGGGGCTGGACTAGGCTCTAGGCCTAAGGACAAATAAGACACAGCCCCTGCCGTCAGGGTGCCTCCAGTCCTCCTTCACGAAGAAGTGTGAGAACCGAGAGCAGGGAGCGACCAGCACCCCCCAGGGCCTGGGGGTGTGTGGTGACCAGTCCCCAGTACAGAGAGGTGGACAGCTCCTTCAGAACAGAACTGGGCTTTCCAGGGTCCAGCCCTGCCTGACAAGAGGAGCCTGCAGAGCATCCCGTCCCCCACCTCAGGCCAAGTTCCTGGATCCTGGGACACTGCTCTCACCCAAGGCGTCTCTGACAGCCCCAGGCTCAGCCCGTCTCACGGCTCTCTCTCCCTGCCACACTCTAGTCTGCAACTCTTTCTCTGGCTCCTATTCAAGGACCTACTGGAGTCCCTGTCTGGTGCTTTATCCCTTCACCCCCTCCCTGAGGGTGGCAGTAGAGACTCGGGTTGGGAGGGACCCGAGGGGCTGTTCCCACAAGGACACAATTGTGCGCACGTGCACGTGCACATGCACAGGCGTGCTCGCCAAGGCTCTGAGAGGATCTAGCCAACCAGGCAAAGCAGAGGGCAGAGCCACAAAGAGAACACAAAGCAGGAATCTGGGGGCTCTGGGTGTGGGGTAAGACCAGGGAGATAAGAGCTGAGGGGGCGGTGGAGGCACGAGGGCAAAGGACCGACAGACAGACCCTGCTCCGGCCTCACTGTCGCCTCTCTCCCAGGTGCCAGCGCTCTCCAGCGCTCCTCCCTAGGGCAAAGGCTCACCTTGCGAAGGCATCAGGCTGGGACCTCAGGCCCCTGGGGCCTGCTGATCCTTTCGGGCCTTCCTGCAGGCACTGAAGGAGTTAACCCTTCCGCAAGTAGTGCAGTCAGGAAGAGGAGCCGGGGCTGGGGCTTACACTCCAGCGCTTTGATCTCTGCTTCCCTTCCCGGTGAGAGCCTGTTGGGGCAGGTCTCCTGCCAGGCAGGCCAGGGGAGCGGCTAGGCTCCCGCTCCCTGATCCCTGCTCCCCAGGCGGCCGCAGAGGCCAGAGGGCCCCTCAGAACAGGCAGCCTGCAGGCAGGAGAGCCCCGGGAGGGTGGTGGAGACGCTCAAGTGGGGCCTCTTCGGCCAGGAGGGTACCTTCCCTCTTCCCTCCCTCCTTCCCTGAGGAGCTGGGCTAGGCCCTCTCTCTACCAGCACCCAGGCCCAGCCCAGGCCCAGGCTCGCCAGGCTAATTGACTGGAAATTCACAGGACCGGAGAATGGAACTGCTGAAGAAATGGAGAGGTCACAGCCTCCATCCTCCTCTAGCCTGCTTGTTCCCAGGACGTCTCCCCCGCCCAGGCGACCCCAGGCAAAAAGAAGCTGTCCAGTCTTCAGAGCCCTCCAAACCAGGGCATGGGAGCAGCCCTAGGGGAAAAGGAGAAGGACTCCTTCTGCTAATCTCATAGTCCATGACTTAACCAAGGGGTGGGGAGGTCACCCGAGTAGTCACAGAACTGAGACTCCTGGATCCTCAGTGCTACTAGGGCCTCGTGTTTCTCATCCCCAGAATGAGACCCTGAACCCAGCCCAGCCTGGAAGAGCAGGAGGGAAGGGCAGAGACTTCCTTCTCTGGAGATGTTCTTACTTCCCTACCCCTCTCCTTTTGAAGGGTTGGGGTAGGAACGGTGGAAAGTAATTACCCTGACGTTCAAACACCCCAGCCGGTTACAGCCCATAATTACAAAGTTGTAAAAGTGATCAAAGAGAGAGGGTTGGCCAACAGGGGGAAACAAACAGGCCTTTCAGACAGTGGGTGCCTGTGTTCAGAGTTCTAGGACTCAAAAAGCAAGATTTGGGGCCAGATGGCAGCCCACTCAGGGGCTACCCATGCTGCCCTGCAGTCTGCCCGCACCCAAGCAAGAGGGAGGGAGGGAGAGAGAGAAGCACTTCTTCCAGACCAGAACCTGGAAGACAGAGAGGACGGGCAGGCCCTCCAGACAGGAAGAGTGGGCTTTAGAAAGACAACCCAGAGACCTCTTTGGGAGCTGCAAAGATTCAGCCAGCCCTCTAAGAGCAGCGCGCAGGCTGCCCGTGGCCTTTAGCAGTGGAAGCCAATACGTTCCAGGACTTCTGCACTTCCCTGCACCTTAGATTTTCCTCTCCAGACACAGTGACAGTCACTGTGTATCTCCTCCTCATCAAAGACTGACTGAGCACCCACTGTGCTCAGGGCACCAAGCCAGGGAAGGCCAAGCCCTCCAGAACAACTCATAATCTAGCTGTGGAGACAAAGCATATACGTACGATTATAATGCTGATGACAACATCCTAGAGTACAAATGAATGAAGCAGACCAGTCGTTTCCAAACCCTTCTTTTCACTGCAGAAAGCCCTTCCCTCCATTGTGCCCCCCACAATACACACACGCGCACACACACACACACACACACGCACACACACACAGACTGACACAAATCGTCAATACAAAACATATAAAAGCGAGCTGAGGTTGAGGGTGGGATTAGGGGTAAGAAGGACCCTTGGCTTCCCCCCAACCCCAGCCCCTGCCAAGGCACCTCCATGAAACCTGGTGTGAAAAGCACGGCCAGAGACCCTGGCAGCACGCCAGGAGGGAAGCCAAGCTCCCAGTAGCCCAGCTGGGCTGAGCCAGTTAGGAAAGGTTCAATACAAGAGGTGGGATTCACCTAGGCTTGAAAGCAAGGGGAGGAGGAAGTAGAGGGGATATAACCGTTATTGAGACCCACTCTGCCCAGACTGTTTAGGTTTGAGTACTAAATCTGCCATCGACCATTAGCTGTGAGACTTTGGGCAAGTCACTTAACTGCTCTGTGCCACAGTTTTCCTTTCTGTAAACTAGGGCTAATAACAGGACCTACTTCACAGGGTTGTTCTGAGGACTATATAAGTTACTCCACGTAAAGCCTTATAATATGCGCCTGGCACAGAGTAAGTATTCCTTAAGTATTTATTTACTTATTTGTATCTGTCATTAGGCCACTCTTAAGTATTAGTTATCATCATATCAGCTATCGCCATGTGCTTTGCGTACATGATTTCATTTACTCCTCACAACAACTCCATAAGACAGGCATCAGCTCCACTTTTGAATTGAGGAAAAAACAGAGGCTCAGAGAGGCTGAACAACTTGCCCAGGGTCACACAGCTGATAAGCAGTGGAGGCAGAATTCCCACCAAGGACCTCAGCCTTCCAAGTACCTGGTTAGCAGGGAGTGTTCTCTGTGGTAAGAAAGGCAGGCCTTGCACCCAACTTTTTTGCCTCCAGAGCCAGCTCCTTCCACCAGGCAAAAGGCCACTGCTCCAGCCCATGCATGAGGGGCTCAGGGCCTGGGGAATCACAAGGATGGCTGTGGAGTTGCTAATAAAGAAACAGAAACCAATCTGGGTGACTGGGTAGGGGGAGGAAGGTGGTATGCTGACAAGAATGAGAGTCCAGAAGAACTACAGTGAGGGTCAGAGATCAAAAGAGGGAACCATGACAGAAAAAGGCCAACCTTGCTAACTATGAAAGCATAGGATGACGATGCCAATGACAAGGACAGCAGTGACAGCTGCAGTCATTTATTGAGTGATTGCTGTGCGCTTGGCCTCTGTACTGTCTCCTCAACTCCTCATAACTACTATAAGATATGAGCCCTGTTATTGTTCCCCTTTTACAGATGGGGAAACAGAGGCTCAGAGAGCTGAGCTAAAATGTCCAGGTCACACTGAGGGGCAGTGGAGAAGCCAAGCTCCAGACCTGCGGCTGTCTGGCTCAAGAGCCCCAGTTCCGGGGGTGGGGACACCACCACTGACACTAATTGATTGGCCAGAGCAGAGCTGACTGAGGTCAGTGGTTTTTGAATTTCCTCACCAAAGACCCACCTTTCCCCTATGCCTCCCACAAGCCCTATATTTAAATATGTTTTACCAAACTAACTGCATTTATTATGCACAATTCATTTTCCTATGAGATAACTTGTATTAACACATTGAACTGACAGAATTCAACCGAAAGCAAAAAAAATGAAGAGTTCAGTTAAGCCTGTGGGAAGTCTCAAATATTGGAAGTAGCCCAAAGATCCACATTACTACCTTCACAGACCTCCTTCGGGCCAGGGGATCCCAGGTAGGAGCTACTTGGTCAGGTCACAGGATGAGAGAGCCGAGGGATGCCTTGGACCTGACCCGCGAGAGAGCTTGGGGCCAGAGCAGTTCCGCAGAGCGATGCGGGGAGAAGACGGGCGAGGGGAAGCAGGGTGAGTGTGGTGCAGGGGGCGGGGGTGGGCACGGGAAGCTCAGGCAGTGACCTCAGAAAGAAAAAAGGTCACAGGGCAGCAGCCAAGGTGCTTCCTCTGAACTCCTGACGGGTTTTTGACTTTGTGTTTCATTTAGCTCAGGGACTGTTTGGGCACTTGACGTACACTCTTTTCATCCTCACCATGATCACTGGGGTAGGAAATAAAAGTCCCATTTTATGGTAGAGGAAACAAAGGCCCAACAAGGTTAATCAAGTACCTCAAAGAGCACTGACCATGTTCCTTGTCACCCAGTGTCTGTTCACATGGTTCATTTCTCCTACAGGAGAGTGGTCCTCTAGGGGCGAGAAGAAAACCTCCTGTGTGGACACATCCCGGCGGGTTGCCGAGCGCCCACACGCATGTGAAATCATACGCTGCTTCAGAGGGACAGTAGAGCTCTCGGAACTCGTCCTCCTCCATCTGTCTGTCTCCCTCCCCTCTCTCTAACTCATACTTACCTACCTAACACTGGGCACTCATCTACCAAATGAATAAATGAATGACATTTGCCCATATTTTGTCAAGCCATGGAAATGAAATGGTCAGAGGTAGGGTAGCTTCAGCCTAACAAAATGCTGCTGCCAGTAGGACGCTTACCGTCCTGCGGAGACACCACACCCTCCAGCTGCTCAGGTGTGTCCTGGACCCCATCTCCCACCTCCCCAGGGTCCCTTCTGCATCAGCACCAGGCTGGGAGAATATCTTCCCCTATCCGTGGGCACCACATTCCGAGTCCTGCCCGAGTCCCTGCCCCCTGGGGGATCACGTAAGAACCCAGGCTGTTTCCTTGAGACTCATGGCCCAGGAAACAGCTCTCGGGAGGATCACAAATGCCCTGGGCCAGAGTTCAAGGAGCAGGCGCATAGGGCGGGACTGTCACCCTCCTCTTTCACCACCCCTGGGAGCAGGACCCCCACCCCAAGTCTGCCTGACCGTGCCACCCACAATCTAACCACACTCTGGCTTGGGTCACCATGGGACTCTTTTCACGTATGTTCAGTTTTTCCAGCCAGAATGGGAGGTAACAGAGCGCAGAGGTTAAAAGCTCAGGTTTGAGAAGTGGACAAGGCTTGGTTCAAATCTCAGCTCTGCCCCTTCCTATCTCTGTCAGCCTGGCAAGTTACTTAAGCTTTCTGATCCTCATTTGTCTTATAGGTCAAATAGAGAATAACAATGTCTAGTTTTCCTGATTGTTGTGAAAAGTAAATGAGAATTGATATATAAGAAGAATCTATCCCATGTCCCACCTGGCACATGGTAAGCACAAAGAAAATAGTAACTAATGTTAAAGCAGGGGTCACGAATGCAAACGTTTACAGGCTCTATGAGGTAGCAGGCCAGTGGGGAGCATGGCAAACCAGAAAGCCCTTGACAGTGGGAAGGTGGCAGCTGCGGCCGGCTCCAGACAAAGGTGCCCTGAGGAAGTGTGGGGCTGCCGGTCTGCGATCTCGGAGGAAGAGTGTTTTAATGGCCTCTGTTTCCACTCTTCTTGCATGGTGCTCAGTGAATATTTCTGAGAGATGGAAAAGCCCTCCAGCTGACCCCCTCTTTGCTCTGATGCTAGGCAGGGGAAGGGGTGTAGGAATGTCCAGGTGATGGGGGAAGAGCTAGGATGGGGCACGTGCTCTAGATGACAGCCAAAACGTTCTGCTGGCACATGGCCGGTGGGGAGAGGACAGTGGCCTGAATTTCCACGTCTCTCAGACCAGTCATGGGTTATAAAAACCTGAACTGAGCACACCACTCTCAGGAAACAAGCAGACAAAGAGCACAGGACCTCTCGTGGTCCAGAGCTGGGCGCGCAGGGGCTCAGGGTGTGCGGGGGTCAAGTGCGAGTCTACCTTGCTGGCCAGTGACAGGCAGGGGCGGGGGGCCCGCTGGGGGCTCTCCAGCTTGACAATGCTGATGAATCCAGGCTCCAGATTGTCGTCGTCGCTGGCGTTGCACAGGTACAGGGGGTGGGACTGCAGAGAGAGAGGGAGAGACAGGTTAGGGGGCTCTAGGGAGCAGAAGCCACAGCTGGGAGAGCCATGCACGTCCCCACTGGTCTCACAGGTACCTGGCGGGTCTCCTGCTGCCACGAAAGAGGGGGCCTTCTTATCAGATGGCCTCATGGTAAGCCAGGAGCCACCAGCTGTCATTTCAGGGGTGCCAGGGCCAAGGACACACGGAGGTGGGGGCAGATGGGAGCAAGGGGTGTATAAATGAAGAGCCTGCTGCAGAGCCGTTCCAACAAGCCTCAAGCCCTGCTTTTCCAAACTGGTCAGCTGCAAAGGGCTCTTCCCCTGGCCCCAGCCTCTCTCACCTCCTAATTCTGCTCCAGGAACCCCAGGCTGCGAGCCTATATCAGTGGCTTCAGAGTCCTGCTTCCCTCCTCGCTCCCCCAGGGCGCTGCTGAGTGCTGCTGGGGCCTCCTGTCTCCTCGGCAGCTGTTGCCATGGAGATTCCCATCTCTCCTGCGGCTTGGGTCTTCTCACTTGGTGCCATCTTGCTCCTCTCAACAGCCCCCTTTGCTTATCCTGGGATTAAGCAGGGTGCTGATAGGGAGGAGAACTATTTTGGGATGAGGCTTGGCTAAGCTATTGTGCTATTAAGCCTTGAATAGCACAATTCCTAGGAGTCTGTCCTGTCCTCAGCAATGATGCGGCCCGCTCAGCCCACCTGCTCTGAGGGTATGGCAGGTCCAGTCCGAGACCCTGAGCCTCTAGCCCGGCTGGTGCTGAGCAACGACTAAGGGGAAGTGGGCCTTATACATGCTAACAGAGACCAGAGGGCCCCTCCTCAAAGGGATGAGACTGCCCTTCTATACACACTCTTCTCCTTCAGGGTGATCCTAATACGCCCTTGTATCTAATTTTCCTAGAGTCCTGTGACAAAGGATAATCCTATGGGCCAGGGGTTCCCCCATGGTGGAAACCCAGTGTATTCTGGCAAGAAAGGGAACCTCCTACTAGGGAGCTGCCCACGATTCCCTGGCTACTGCTGTTAGACTAAAGGACGTCCAGAAAGAACCATCAGAGGAACCAGAGAGAATTTTGAATTTACGAAGATGTTTACGAACATGATAATGTCAATGATGGACTGAAAAGCACAGTCAGGGCTTCCCTGGTGGCGCAGTGGTTAAGAATCCGCCTGCCAGGACTTCCCTGGTGGCGCGGTGGTTGAGAATCCGCCTGCCAATGCAGGGGACACGGGTTTGAGCCCTGGTCCGGGAGGATCCCACATGCCACGGAGCAACTGAGCCCGTGCTCCACAACTACTGAAGCCCGCGTGCCTCAACTACTGAGGCCTGCATGCCTGGAGCCCGTGCTCCGCAACGGGAGGGGCCACCGCAATGAGAAGCCCGCGTGCACCACAACGCTCCCTGCAACTAGAGAAAGCCTGTGCACAGCAACAAAGACCCGACACAGCCAAATAAAGAAAGAAAGAAAGAAAGAAAGAAAGAAAGAATCCGCCTGCCAACGCAGGGGACACGGGTTCGAGCCCTGGTCCAGGAAGATCCCACATGCCGTGGAGCAACTAAGCCCATGCGCCACAACTACTGAGCGTGCGCTCTAGAGCCCGCGAGCCACAACTACTGAAGCCCGCGCGCCTAGAGCCCGTGCTCCGCAACAAAAGGAGCCACCACCACGAGAAGTCCGCACACCATAACAAAGAGTGGCCCCTGCTCTCTGCAACTAGAGAAAGCCTGCGCACAGCAACGAAGACCCAACGCAGCCAAAAAAATAAAATAAAATAAATAAAAGCACGGTCACTTTTTGAAAGAACTTTCAGGCTATTTCCTCTCACTGTATCACTGCAGTCCCTTGACCATAGTAGGTTCTCAATACATATGCACTACCTCACTTTGAACTGTATCCTTGTGAATAGAAATCTTTGGGCAGGGGGTGATGAGATGGGAGGAGTGTCCATTCTTGCTCCCAGAAATTAAGGACTATTAGTCTGGTGGTGATCGAGGTTTCGTGTGGGAGAAAGGTTATATATCCCCCTAACCCCCAGAAATGGGCTGGGGCATGAGGTTGGGGGCTCTAGTGAAGCTGTAGCCCCCATCTCAACAAGCTCCATTAGTCTGTCCGTCTGCCCATTCATTTCTTCATTCTACCAACACTGAAGGCCCTCTTGGTGCCAGGCACTGTTCAACGCAACGAGGAGTCAACAATGAATAAGACAGGCTCCTTGCCTTTAAAGCTCAGAAGACAAGCGTGCAAACACTGTGTATTGTGATGTTACAATGCAGGTTCATTCAAGGGCCTGGGGGAGGGCCTGAGGAGGGGGACCAACAATCCCATGCAGGAAGGCAGAGTGACCTCAGTGCTTCCTTGGGGACTAAATAGGTGTGTGTTCACCCAGTGGACCCACAACCAGGGGGGAGGGTACGCTCCTGGCAGAGCAAGCGGCCTGCGCTGAGGGTTGGGGGGGGCAGTTAGGTCCGGCATGAAAGGTCGGCAAGAGCAGGGACCACAGATCTGTGTTTGAGAAGGATCTCCCTGGTGACTGCAGAGGACAGGCCGGTGTGGTGAGATGTCAGGAGTCAGCTGCTCCAGCAGAACAAAAGATGTGAGACCTCCCTTCAGCACAGCCACTGCTGTGCGTGCTCCCACACCCTACCCATGGTCCAGCTTTCTCAAGATAACTCCAAGATGCCTCTCGCTAACCAGAGGGTCAGTGGAGATGGGGAAAGTCACTTTGGAGAAGAGTAGTCTTTAGAGAAGGATTTTCAAATACTTCACCACCACGCTGCCCCCAGGCCTTTGCGGGGGAACCAACGTGTACCGTACTGTAGTGCCACATGGTAGGATGCTGAGATAGAGGGGAAAAAACGTGGTGCAGTCACCAGACTTCCGTGGTCCTGAGCTAACTACTATGGAAGAAGGAAGAGGAGGAAATGAACCATTAGTAAATGCCTTTGGCATGCCAGAGCCTGTAGATGTTATCTCATTATGAGGTAGGTGTGCTCATCCCCACTTAAAGAAGAGGAAGAAGCTTGAGGCTCAGAGAAATTAAGGTCACACAAGATTAGAACCCAGCTCTGACTCCACCCTCTGGAGTTATGCAACTCCAAATGAAACACATAGCAAACCCACCACTGTCCATGCTAATGCTGCTGCTGATGATGAGAGTGTACATTTATTGAGTAAATATGGTGGCCAGTGAGTGTTCCAAGCGCTTTTGTGTATTACCTCTTTTTA